TCGAGTAGAAAGGAAATGTATTTTCTCAACATACTAGTATTTATGTGAAATCAACATTCACCATCCTACTTATTATTGCTGGACTACTAGAGATATTCTTTACCTTTTGAGATATGAGCAATAATCATTTACAATATGTAATGAAAATGAAATCAGGCAATTCATGAGCTTGACCACACATAGTCCTTTTCTCTATAATTCATAGAGTAATATTATTCCTTGGAAGATTCTGTATATGTCATATAAAGATTTCCACAAATATATCCTTATTGTTGCATGGAACTATTCCATTCATGGAACAATAAAGGGATAATTTGATATTGTCAGAAAAAAAACATAAATCTGAAAACAAAGTAAATTATGGCATAAATATACAATAAAATATGACATGGCAGTAAAAATAATGATCAGCTCTATGCTGATATGGAAAGATGTTATAGGTGTACTGAACACTGTGGGTGATGGCCTGCCATGTGAGCTGACAGTGCATGCTGAGGTCACCAGTACCTGAATCCAGCAATCACTTCTCAGTCCTCTCAACAGCATTTGACCTGGTTGTGCTCCCTCTGCTCTTTGAAGACACTACTCTATTTTCAGTTTTCCTCTTACTTGACTCTCTGCAAAGGCAAATCCAGCATTTGGAGACCGAAAGCGTATACAGTTTTGAGGCCCTTTTTAAGAAAGAATATAATATTACAGATACAGAAATCAGGAAAGCATGCACATATTTGTTCAAGGAGTTCACCAGAAATGCACACAGAAATGCCTTCTGAACTCATTTCTCCCCTAGAGCACTTTATACCTCCCAGCGGCCCCTGGCACACACTGGGACCACTGCTGATGAAGGGGCCCCGAAGCAACATGGTAAATTGGCCTCTATCCCATAGGCTGGTTCCCTCTGATATAGGAAACCCCCAAGTCTCAGATTTTGGTATTCAGTAACATCATTTTACTCCTCTGCTCAAATTCCCATAACAGCGCCTCATGTCACTCTCAGAATCAACACCCAGACACTGACTACAGTGCTTTGAATGGTTTGTCCTCTAACTCTCTAACTTACCCAGTCCATCAGCTCTGTCACACTGGCATCTAGGCTGCTTCTCTGCAATACCAGGCCTACTCCTACCTCATTAGCATCTTTGCAACTGTTGATTCTTCCCCTAGACATCTGATATGCTCCATTTCTCAATTTCTTTCAAGTCTTTGATCAGATGGCACTTTCCCAAAGAAGTATACCCTGACCACCCTCCCTAAATGGAAACTTCCTTCTCTGTTCCTCAGCACTTACCACCAAATCTTATTATGTACTGAAATTGCTTTTTATGTTTGCTGCTTATTACCTCCTTCCACCCAAACCGAGCTCTACAAGGAAAATATTTTGTCAGTTTTATTTTTATGTATCCTAAGCTTCACATATCTAGATAAGTGCCCCGTGCATAGTAAAGGCAAAGAAGATAATAAGCAAACTGATCTTTAAGAAGCTGAGCAAGTCAACCAGAATGGAGTAGTGAAGGATAAAGGTAATTAAAAGACATTGCTGCTTGAATATATGTATGTCAGACTCTTGTAGAAATGGAGAAAATATGGAAAAGGCATTATTCAAAAAGATTCTCTTAGAAATGGAAATAAAATTTGTAGTTAAAGAAATATGGGGGCTGGGAAGATGGCCTTGCAAGCATGAGGCCCTGGGTTCGATTCCTCAGCACCACATAAGCAAAAAGAAAAAGAGCCATAAGTGGCGCTGTGGCTCAGGTGGTAGAGTGCTAGCCTTGAGCTGAAGAGCTGAGGGACAGTGTCCAGGCCCAGAGTTCAGGCTCCACGACCGGACCCCGCCCCCCCCAAAAAAAGAAATGTGATGAATGAGCCATATAAATAAAACAAACCCCAAATTCACTATATTGGATGCAGAGAGATCTGAATATAGAAAAAAGTTAGTAGTAATAATGTAGCACTTGCAGCTAACATTTTAATAGTGCAGTGCACTAGAGCAGTGTCTAAACATCTTACGGACTGATGGCCACAATACACTGTAATGTAAGCATTATTATTACATACATATTATCTGTGATGAAATTGACACCAAGAAAAAGTCCAGTAACTTGCCTACTGTCATCAGTTAATAACTAGTAGAGCTGCCATTCGATCTTCAAGAAAATTCCAGTGAGAGAGAGAGAGAGAGAGAGAGAGAGAGAGTGTGTGTGTGTGTGTGTGTGTGTGTGTGTGTGTGTGTGTGTGTGTGTGTGTGTGTGTGTGTGTGTGTGTGTGTGTGTGTGTGTGTGTGTGTGTGTGTGTGTGTTTTGTTGGTTGTGGGGCCTGAACTCTGGGCCTAGGCGCTGCCCTTCAGCTCAAGGCTAGCACTCTACCACTTGAGCCACAGAGCCACTTCTGTTTTTCTGAATGGTTTATTGAAATCAGAGTCTTTCCTACCCAGGCTGGCTTTGAACCACAGTCCTCAGATCTCAGCCTCCTGAGTAGCTAGGATTAAAGACATGAGCCACTGGCACCCGGTGAGTTAATGATTTTACCACAAAAGGCATGTAGTAGAGGACGATGTGAAATTTTCTGTTTGAATCAAGGTGGGTACATTATGCTGTAAAACAAATCCCAGATCTTAGTGGCTTTAAACAAAGTTTTGTTTTTGTTTGTGTGAATGTCCATCCTGGGTAGGATGGGAACTCAGCTGTGTCATCCTTATGACACAATCCAGGCTGGTGGAGTGACTGAAGCACTGATGTTTACTGTGAAAAAGTAACCTGGGTGGCTGTGCTCTGGTTCTTGAAGCTTCCATTTGGAATTGTCAAGTGACACAAATCCACTTCATTGAGCAAAGAGCAAGTTGCAGTGCCGCACTTACCCCAACAAAGACAAACTGACATATTTCCAAAGGAGAACTAGAAGTGTAGACAGCACCATGTGCTTTCATAATTTAAGTGAATATGTATGTGACATAAACAGAGAGAGGGGTTGATTTTCAGGCAGGCATGAAATAAAGTGTGGTAGATTTGAGCATATAAAACTGTTTATGTCAAAAATAGTTTTTAAATTATTAGACAAAACCATTTGTAAAGAACAGACTTAGGGCGTTGATGGTATGGCTCAGTGATGGATAATACATCTAGTGAGCACGAGGTCCTGCATTGAATTTTCAATAACCAAATGTATATGTGTATGTAATTTCTAAATATGTGTAGTAGACCCAAAATAAGGATCATTAATACATGAAGATTTTAAACAAATGGATAATTTTAAAACAACCATCTTAAAATGGACTAAAATGATGAGTGAGAAAATGGCAAAAATGTAAATTGAAAGGTGTTCAACTAATTAGTAATTAAAGCACTACCACTTAAAGCAGGATATCATTTCTTACCTAGAAGATGTTGACAACTTGTTTTGATGAAGGTGTGTACTGCCTTACTACTGGAGTGTTAACAGACAAGCAAACAAAGTAGAAAGGTGCTCATCTTTCTTGAGACCATGGAGGCCAGCTTGGCAATGTGACTAAAAGTTTTAAATTTAGCCAGTATGATGATGCATGCCTATAATACTAACTACTCAAGAGGCAGAAGCAAGAGAATCCTATATCTAGACCCCAGCCCAAGCAAAGTAATCAAGACCCCGTCTCAGAAACAAACAGCAAGAACAAGGGGGCATGGCCCTAAGTAAGTAAATAAATAAGTAAATAATAAAACAGAATGAAGTCTTTTAAATCTAAAATTCCCATAGCACTTCACCACAGGTAGTCTAGCTTTAAGAACTGAAATAACTAAGAGTGTACATAAAGAGTGAGGTATAAAGCTCACTGCAGCATTGCTTATAATTGAAGGAAAATGAAAATAACAATATTCAGCAGTAACAGGTTACATAAATGACTGTACAGTGGAATAGTCTGCAGCTTTTCCTTTTATTTGAAAAAGTTATAGATGTATATGAAAACAGTCTGAAAGCATATATGTCCTACATTATATATCCCCATATTAATGGCAGATTTATAGATTTGTCACCCTTTTTGTTATCTGCATTTCTAATTTTATCATAAGATGTATTATTTCTAGAGTGTTTTTAAAACATAAGAAAAATCATGGCACACATTGGTCCACTTTCTACCACCAAGTTTAACTTATGCCCAGCCTCGATAATCTATCCTTAGAACAGAACTAGGCCCTTGTTATGTATCTTGGATACAGAAGGATTCCACTCACTCTTGCTGTGAGTCTTAACTCATGAACTCTCACCATCCCTGTTACCCACCCCCTTTACTTTTGCCTTTCCCAATCATTTTCGTTCTTTTTTTTTTTAATTTTTAACATCTTTATAATCCCAGCTCTTCTAAAGACTAGGACCCAGACTTACTGTCTCTCACTAATCACCATCCTGGGAATCAGATCATTGCTCCAAAATTTTATGCTAGTGTCAGCAATCCAGTTTATCCTAATGTATAACTTGACTGTGGTTCTGCCCTTCCTGTGTCTTCTCAGGTGGAGTTGCCACATTCTACCTGCTGATCAGGACAACCAGCTTCTATGCTGTATTGGGCAAGCATTTGTTCCATTGCCTCTACCACCCCTGCTAAACACCTTGGTTCCATCCCTAAACTTCTCAGCCTAGTATTGAGGCTGCTTCTAGCTCCCTGTACTCCCCACATTTTTCTAGGCCACTGTGGTTACTTACAGTCATCCTTATACATTTCTCAGCTGTTAGATTTCTCTGAGGTATTTCTCCTTTCCTGATAAAACACAAGAAACTAAACTAATAGTTAGAAGTATGCATTTTCTGCTGCCATTCAAAGTTTGGGTGGCAAACAGTGAGAAATCCTTGGGAAACTGGCACTCGGCAGTAGTGGTTGCACTGCTAACAATAAATAGAAGCTACCGATAGAGGGCACCCTTCCTCTTTGCCAGGCATGGCTCGGATTCCATCACCGTGCCTCCCAGTAGGACATAGTAAATTCTCTGATTTCATAACTGTTAACTGCTTGTGTTTTCCAATGTTATGTCCAGGTATTGCTTTGTTTTTCCCGGGATACATCTGTTCTGGGTCACTTTTCATACAACAGTGCTTCACCACCAAAATCCTACATAAGAGGTAATGTTTTAGTAATATCAAGGAAGTATGCTGTAAAACTACAGACTCGTGCTAGGAATGTTTGTTTATATCTTATACTGGTGTTCCTGAGTTCTAAATTGTTTCATAATTCTCCCAGATGACAGCACCATCCCCTCAGTCCCTTCACCCTCACTTCAGTGCCCAGAGCACAGCCAGATGGTTCTCGAAGCAGCATTTCAGGGGACTATTTTTTCTTCCATGTTTGCTGTTTCCTTGGTTGTTGCTTTTGCGCTTTGCATTGGTTTTTCTTTTCCTTTAGGACTGTAAGTTTATCTCACTGATTGGCTTTACAAATTTTCTAAGCTTTTTATAACCCTGCCCTCAAAATGTGCTACCACACTCACAAATTTGATATAATTTGTGCACATTAGCCCTCTAATACCTATTAGTGCTTTCTTCTCCTCTTCATCACTAACAGCCTTATGGTATCACTGCTTCAATATCCCACCATTACTTGAAAGCCAAGTAAATGTAGCTGACAGCCAGCTCCACTTCTCTTTGTTAAGTGGTGTAAACAGTGGTCCTTGAGCGGCTCATGTGTCTCCTCAGTGTGACACACTTTTGCCCCAGAATTGCCCACATCATCTTGGGTTGGAGTCAGACTTCCCCCCAACTTGAGAGGGGAAGTTGTATTGCTTCTAAAGTGAATCTATAGAGGCCTGAAAATCTGATTATCTAATGGACTGAACTATGGTTTTAGGGCCCTCAACTAATTCTCAGTTTAAGCGAGCTAACTAGCCTCCTTGATTATCACACAATGTACCATATTTTGTTTAGCCACCATACAGTCCTTGTATATGGAAAGATTTCCATTCCTCTATGCTTCAATTATACGTCCTTGAAGAACTAGCCTACCACTCACCATGTACATCAGCCTATCACCAATTCTCTCCACTGAACCTCTAAGCAGTTAAAGTCTGTTTTTAAAAATAGTAAATATATTCTGTTTTCCTGTGTTAGCCTAGAATCAAAACCACATGACTAAGAGATTATATCTAATATTTATTTTGTTTGCCTCTTAAATACCTAATGTAATAATCTATGTCTGTTTATTTTTTATTATTTCATTGTCACCCAGCACAAAGATAAGTCTGTTGTATATCTACTGTAACCTAACCCGCTCATATTTATTATTCTTCATCTTTTCTCTGCCACTACCCCTAACAAGAACAAAAAGAATTTAATTAAAATTGTTACTTTAAACCCAAGTGCAAGAGCAAATGTCATTTCAGTAGACTCAAAGGTGTTGTTGAAAAGAACTGTCAAGATAAAAGCTACCTAAGATAAGTGGTATCACTAGGGAAGGTGCTCAAAGGTAGAGTGACTACCTAACATGCACAAGACCTGGGTTCAGGCAGATGGCTCATGCCTGCAATCCTGTCTACTTAGGAAGCTGATACCTGAAGGATCCAGGTTCAAAACCAGCTCTGAGCAGAAAGTTTGGGAGACTCCATCTGTAAAATAACCAGCAAAAAGGCAGGCTAGAGATGCTGCTGATGTAGAGTATAAATTATAAGCCATGCAAGGGTGAGGTCCTGAGTTCAAACTCTAGTACCAACAAAAATGGTGGGAGAAAACTAATTTTAAAAACTATGTTAAGGGGCTGGGAAGATGGCTCAGTGGTAGAGTGCTTGCCTTGCATGCCTGAGGCCCTGGGTTCGATTCCTCAGCACCACATAAACAAAAAGAAAAAAGCCGGAAGTGGTGCTGTGGCTCAAGTGGTAGAGTGCTAGCCTTGAGCTGAAGAGCTGAGGGACAACGCCCAGGCCCAGAGTTCAGGCCCCACAACCGGACCCAAAAAAATAAATAAATAATAAAAACTATGTTAAACATTTGATCACAATGAACATGCTTTCCTAGAACAATTCTAATTTCAAATATTTATCCCCATTCTCTGGTCCTATGAACCATTTTGGGAGCTAGAAAATATGACTACCTTATAGTTAAAATACATTTAAATTTTAACTTCTCAGCACATTTCTAAAAATACTATGAAGATACTGCAAAGTTTAGGACCTGAGTTAATAAATAGTATTGTTTATATTTGCAAAGCCATTTTATGTTTATAGATTCCTCCCAAATTCTTAAGTAGCTTGAAAGCATTTGTTTATATTTTGATTTTAATTCACCTTGAAATTTGCTAATGTTGGCAGATTGGGGGCTGGCAGATTTTCAGATTTCATTCCATATCATGAAATAAAATAGACTAGTTTTTAAATTTCCATTACTTATTACTATACTTACAGAGCATTAATTTAAATTTGTATTTTACTTATTCATATTGAAACTCTCTTTCTTACAGGAAAACTAGGATTAGAGGAATATGCTGTCTTTTATCCACCAAATGGTAAGAGTAAAGCAATGGCTTCCTCTAGTGGGAAGTGAGAAAATTACAACTTTCATATTAAGAATGTGACTTTATTTTATTCTTTCTCTTTAAATGAAAAATAATTTATCACCTAAAACAAGCCTTCTATAGACTCTTTCTACATTTGTGCTAGGTTTGTGCTCAGCCACATACTTTCTGGTTTTCCTTAGGACATAGTAAATTTGTGGGAAAGCTGAGCTTAAGTCCAGGGCACTGAGTCTTCCTGTGAAGAACATTAACTAGTTCAATAGGGCCTTCCTCCTGACATTGTTGGAAGGTCAACATGGAGTGAATCACCTTGACCAGCGTGGCATTTAGGAAATGCAAAGATTATAAAGAAAGACCACTGAAGTCTTATTTTGGTTATATGAAGTGATCATATGATCTCATAGTTAATATTTAGGTTCTAACCATGCCTTTGAGCTGCTTAGACAGTTTTTAAGATATACTTCTTGGGAAAGCATTATATAGTGTCCTAATTATGATAATGTTAAGTTGCATCCTAAAGTTCTTTTACCCCAGCAGAGTTAAGAACATGGGTTTTGTAATCCAGCAGACCTGAGTTCAGATCCCAGTTCTACCAACTCCCTCTATGACCTTGGGTATGTTACATGACTTATGTGAGCTTCAGATTCATCAATGGTAGCATGTGAATAATAGATTAAGTGAGATGCAATATGGAAACCATTCGCACAGTGCCTGCCATGTAGTGAGTGCTGGGAGAAGGGAGGTATAGCAATGTGCTGATTTGTCACCTAGTAAGCCTAACTTCCTCGATTTCATGGCACCTTTTCTCCCTGTACCTTTCAGTGTTGTGCCCCGTTCCCTTCCTCCCTTGCACTCCTGCCCTGCTTCAAACGCCTCACTTTCACTCCGCTTCTCTGCTTTTCCCACAGGGCCTAGGGGCTCCCGTCCTCTTTCATGGGTCTGTCTGTATTTGTTTGTTACTCTAACATTTCTAGTTCCTTCTCACCTCTCCTGTGAGTGATGTCAAGCTTAAGCGGCCCCAACTTAATATATTATCTTCCTTTGCTCCCCAAAAGAAGAAAAAAAATCTCAATTAAAAAATAAGACCCCCCCCCATCATTATCTATTCAGTAACTCAGAGCCTAAAACCTGTTAGGCCTACTAGCTTCCTTTCAGTTTTGTCCCTCATTAAATAAGTCACAACAACCTTCCTGTTTCATCTTCCATATACATCTGGGACCCTCTCTTCCTAGCCATAACTGCCACCTTGCCCTCTTTCAGGCTCTACCACTTCTAGCTTACTAAGAGCAGCCTTCATCTAGATGGCCTCATCTTCTTTCAAAATCAGTCTGAGTTGAACAGCTTAAGTGAAAATCAGAAGACTGTTCTTTTCCTAAAAGTTTTCTTAATGTTTCTGGGATGCTTAACATCCAAGCTTCTCAGTATATACATACATACATACATACATATATATATATATATACGTACATACATATATACATACAAACACACATACATAGGAACACTCAGATGCACATACATACATTCAAAAATATGGGTCTCTCCAGTCTGATTCTTGACAGTCTGTCTCTTAGCTTCATTTTCACCATTTCATTTCACATCAGTAGCAAACTTTTTTTATTATTTTTACACACAGCCACATACTCTCACAAAAGTATTGAAGCACTGTCCTGCTTTCTACCTCATCACTTTGTCTGTCCCCAAGCTCATAGCCGATCATTGTCAAGGCCCAGTTCAGACATGACCTTCGGCATGAAGCTTCCTAGAACACCCTGCCTGCCTCTCGGCGCTCACACTGCCTGGTGAGGAGACCTTGGGCATCGCTTACTGTGTTATCTTGACATTGTTTATACTTTATTTCTTCCTCGATATTGCAGTTTTCAGAAGATCCAAGACTTTATTTTTATTTAATGTGTTTCATTTTTACCTCTAGTATCTAAGCATATATTAGTACTATAACGAGTGTTTATTCAAACTACATTAGATGCTTCTCACTTTAAACTTTATGTGTGTATAATATGTGCGTAAGTATATGTCACACACACATACACACACATACATATATGTTCATAAGCAATAGTGAAAGTGAATTTTAGAGACCCTTTCACAAGAATATATTAAAACTAGCCGGGCGCCAGTGTCTCACGCCTGTAATCATGCAGGAGGTTGAGATATAAGGATCGTGGTTCAAAGCCAGCCTGGGCAGCAAAATCCATGAGACTCTTATCTCCAGTAAACCACCTGAAAACCAGAAGTGGCACTGTGGCTCAAGAGGTAGAGCATCACCTTGAGCTAAAGAGCTCAAGGACAGGGCCCAGGCCCCCAGAGTTCAAGCCCCACAACTGACAAAAAAAAAAAAAGAATATACTAAAACTAAAATATTATATAAGATCACTCCAGCAAATCAGACTGGAATTGTTTTATATAAAAGCTAATAGCCCTGTAAAAACCAGGAAGGCACTTAAAGTGGACAGAGGGTTTCTTCCCAGCAACCCATATCCACACCTGCTATTACCTTCCCTAGGCAGGAAGAGCCAGCCACAGTGGCTTCAGGCAGCATTCTCACTCAGTTGAGGACTGATCAGTAGATTCATTACGTAGCTAATGTGCGACGTTTCTTAGCTAAGGAAGGCATCTCCCAGGAATTTTGTGAGCTTTCCACGTTTGTTGTTACTATTGTTGTTATTCAGTATTATAAATTACTTTATTCATCTGATGAATATTTACCTAGCCCTGTTCTGGATGACTGTGGGTGAGTGAGCCACACGAAAGAACACCATCAAGTACTTACTGTGAAGGAGCTCATAGTAAGGGAGATATTCAAGAGAGAGATAACAGAAGATATACAAGAGAGAGGGAGAGGAAAACCTGTCAGAGAGAGATGTGAATGATAAAGTAACCAGAAATTGTTGGAGCTTGGGGAAGGCATGGCTGTTTTAAAGGAAAGAGTCAGGAAAGGGGCCTCTGAGGAAATAGAACAGACCAGAAAGTACAGAGTAAGCCATGCAGAGAACTGGAGGAGCGCAGTCCAGAGGGAGTGTGTGGCATGTTTGAAGGTTTGAAGGTAAGAACAAGCCTGATGCCGAGGTATGACTGATGCCAATGAGCAGAGACAAGACAGGCCTCGCCAGTAACTCCTGTCCAGTAACTCTAATGTCTGGCCTTCCGAAACAGTTTATTTTCATTTTTCTTTTTCTTTTACTTTTTCTGGTGAATGGCCTATGCTTTATATGTTAGTTTGCCTAATAGTGAAAACTGGCTGTCTTGCCTGTTATAATGTGATAAATGGAAATTAAGACTCACTTCCTCAGCCCAGAATTTGTTGTTATACTTTATAATTTTTTAGCAGTTGCCCTCAGCTTTTTTTTGGGGGGGGTCCAGTCATGGGGCCTGAACTCTGGGCCTGGGCGCTGTCCCTCAGCTCTTCAGCTCAAGGCTAGCACTCTACTACTTGAGCCACAGCGCCACTTCTACCTTTTTTTATTCTGCTTATGTGGTGTTGAGGAATGAACCCAGGGCCTCATGCATGCAAGGCAAGCGCTCTACCACTGAGCCACCTTCCCAACTCCCTCACTCTTCTTATAAGGATCATATTCATTGTCTAGTGTGCCTGCTGAAGTGTCCATTATGTCAACTTAATAAGTCAGCTAGAGATTTGGCAAGAGATTTCATTAAATCTGCAACTCAAAAGTAAAAAGCAGAAACATTTCTCCTAGATTTTATGGATTGGCTTAGAGTCAGTCCTTTAAGGTTTTGTCAGGCCACTTACAACTCTACCTTAGTCTTCATGTCCTATTTTTACAGGTCCTAAAAGCCAGTCAGAGATGAAAACCTAAGGTCTTTTCAGGTCTCTTCTAGATCCCCCTGTATCCTGTACACAGGAGCTTTTCGAAGTATTTATTCCCTCCTGGCTGAGACTGCTCCTTCCCATGCTTTCCAGTCTGTCTAGCATTTGCCCATCAGTTACTCCTGCTCCTCAGGTGCTGTAGGTAGTGTATTCACCTTGAAATGCTCTTGACAAATGCTGCCTGGCAAGGCGCTTCAGTCATAAGGGTAAATCTGAGCCACACTCTCAGGTAGCTACTCGACAGGACAAAACACGAACAAGTTTTGTTGTTGTTTTTTCATACAAGCAAGCTACCAGGATTGTGAGCTACTATGTTCATGGCTGCTGCCAGACTGGAGAATGGTGTATGGAGGTGGTGAGTTAAAACACTGTAGTGCTCTCTTACCAAGATTTCCCCTGGTTACTATAGGATTATTGGATTCTAGTGACCAAAAAAGTTGACTCTACCATGCTTATCAGCTTAACCTCTGCTTTAAGGAGGGAATGAGTTTGGGAGTTCCTTATCCCACTCATCTAAGCAACAGATCTCCAATGACTGATTAATACCTTTAAATCATCAACCTGCCTGTTAGTAGAATGCAACTGCAGTAAAACATAATCCCAAGGAGTACAGGACTTTATTGCTTCTTGACTTTTGGCTAAGATCAAGTGGAGAACAGAACTTCAATAGTTTTGATGACAGATTTATCCAGGAAATAGGAGCATGAATGCATAGTCTGCTCAGTGAACAATGCTGAATAAATGCATGAAGGAATGACTATGGAAGAGTTCAGAGGAACAAGAGCAGAAGCAAGGAGATTTTTTTTTTAAGGAAAAATACAAATCTGGGTGAGATGTAATTTCAAGTGACTTCTAAAAACTAATTTATTAATAGTGTTTGTCTTTTACACGGTAGAAAACACAATTGCTAAAAAACATTAGATAGGGAGGTTTCAGAGCTTTGAAGCAGTGGTCAACCAGAGGCCACTCCCACAGCATTTACACTTAACACACACACACACACACTCTCTCTCTCTCTCTCTCTCTCTCTCTCTCTCCCCCCCCCCTCCCAGGGAACAGCTGACTGAAGACTTGTTCCAACCCCTCTGGAGGAAGGCAGTACTGCCAGCTTCCTATACAGCTCTCCAGACAGCCTCCTAGAGCA